TCATAACTGCCAAGCCAAGCAGAAACTCACCTGCACTGGAGTCCAGGATTTTATGTGGCAATAAGCATTTTTAATTAAAAGTTTCCCATTTCCTAAATTTGGAACTGAATCTGTAAACATGTGGCAGATTGAGCTAACACATCCAAGCATCATTGGCGCTATGGGGGAAATGTGGCTTTTTAAAAAATTGAATGGTTAAGCTGAGAAAATCCAGCTGTGTTTTACTTAAAATTGCAATAATCAGAGTTCTTTTACTCCTTTTTTCTTTTTTCATCAGTGTATCTGCTGTTGTGTGTGTTGGCTCCCCATCCCCCAGCTCTTCACTTTCATCTTTGAAGAATGATTTCAGATAGGGATGAGGGTTAAAGCAATATAATACTTATTCACTCTAGTGAGTGATAGAAAGCCTCTCCTGCCTTGTAGTTTATCTTTTAAATAGGTCAGAAGCAGCAGGTAATCTTCATCAGCAAAGCAATTAGATTTTTAACCCTTACCTGTCATGTTGCTAGAGGTCTTTGAGTTTACACAGAAGTATATGGTGTTCCTTAATTAGAAGTAAAATTGTCCCTGGAAAGCAATTTCCCAGTTAAATCAAGAAATACTTATATTGGTGTCCGAATTATTCTTACATGGTGTTTAGGATGATGGGGCTGGGGGAACGGGGAGCAGTCAGGGAGAGAATCTGGCCATTACTCAAGGGAGTCACAAAGTTCACTTTCAAGGCTGGGTTAGGTTCCTTGATGAAGGCCATTGTCAGATTGGACTAGAAATAGTTGTTTTAAACTCATTATTCCCCCAGTAAATCCACATTCTACTTTCCATTAGAGGAGTAAAGTATGGTGCCACACAGGGCTGCTAAATCTCTGTAGGTGGTAGATCTAAGAAAAATCAATTCATGCGAAGGTAAAGGAGGAGGTAAACANAGAAAAAAGAATGTGTAACCCAGATAAGTTTATGTAAAATAATACCAAGAAACATTAAATTAGGGTATGCACTGCAAAGGAAAAGAACAGATGTGAGAGAAAGATTGTACTTGCAAGGTGAGATGTAGGAAATACTTTCTAGTAGGATGGTGGGAGTCATATATGAAACAAGCTAAAACTTCCCAGATTTGTTCCTGGTAGAATTTTTAATGAGATTCTCCTTCACCCCCAGAGTTGCCTCAGTTTCTTTTCTACAGCCTTTTACTAACTTGTTGAAGGAAATAGGTAGGGGCCTCACCATTCCATCCTTGCTGTCTTAAAATAGTCACTTTTGCCACGTTTTCAGAGCATGCTCCTTGAGTCCTTCAAGCCACAGCTTCTCCCTGCTGCCTTCCAGCTGTGATCTCCTTATAGGTGTAGCACCATGGCAACAGGCCCAGCCTAGAGCCCAGGAACCTTGTTTGTGTTACCTGAGAGGCTAGATGCAGCCTAAAGGAAGAGAAGAAGGAATATTATCCTGCAGACTGTTTGGATGAAGATCACTTCTTGTTGTTTGTGTTTCTATTCCGCTTCTATTGAAGACTTGAAATTTATCCAAAGATGGAAAGCATTTATCCAAAGATGTTATCAGTAATGGAAGGCAGCAGGAAACCATCTTCTATTAGCTCCTGTCTTCTAAACAGAGAGTTGTTTACTGAGATGTAGTTCAGAAAGTGACTTGCTACACCGGGACATGAGGCATCGCTATGATTTGGGGTTGCACTGCCAGGTGGCTGTACAATTGCTTCATGTAGGTAGGTGTTTATTTTGTTTGAAATAAAAATAACATGTTTTAGAAAAATTTCCCAGGGAATCTAAAAAATAAAATAAGCCTTTTGTCGTGCCTTCTTCTATTTTAAATATGCCTTAATCTTTCCTGTTGTGCAACTCACCCCCAGAACATGAGAGGCTTTTCCCCTCCAGCAACTCCTACTGGGAAAAATGGGCTGGAATTGTTTCGTATTTGTTTAGTAAAGATTACAGTGTCCAGTTGCCTCAGCCAAGCTTCCTATGCAGCATATTGAGAAAGCCTGTATGATAATTAAAGTAAAAAAAATTTTAGCATTTAGTTATTTATAATTGACATACTATATTTGCATACATAATATATCTATATGTAGATATATATAACTTGTTATTGTCTTATCCAATAGAACAAAGGAAAATAAAGGTGGAGCTGTTACATGGTTATATTTTTACATACAAAACATTGGATGGCATTTGTCCTTTTTGTGCATACTTTGTATTATTAGTGAGAAATGTAAATATTTACTTTTTTACTTTATAAATTGCTGAATATCAAAACATGTTTTTCAGCCTAAACTTTAAATGGTGATTCTTTTTTTTCTTTTTTTTTTTTTTTTTTTTGGTGTGGAAAGAAGAATGGACTAAATCCTTATTAAGAAGCTGTTTCTTATTTTAAGGAGTTTGATTCAACAATGTTAGTATGGAGACAGAAGGGAGAAAGCAGCCTTTAGTGCTAGTTTCCAATATCTTATTACTTTGTAATTTAGCTAAAAGCTAGTCTGGCATTAAGTATTTCAGTTCCTTTTAATGTTAACATGCTTATTCCAAGGAAGTGAATTAAGCTGCTTATTTAATGTGTTTTACAAACAAATGTTTTTACATAAGGCATTTCTTTTTACCCTTATTACTAATTACTTCTGCTTGAAATGAAATATATGAATTTAACCTTGGATGTTTCAGTCAGTAAATCTTATAATCATTGAGTAAAACTGTGTGGCCTTCCAGTTCTGTATTCAAATTGTTTTAATTTCATTAATTATTTCAAGAGGAAGGCAGTGAAGTACTAGCTCCTATAATGACAAGTGTCATGATTCCCAGCATTCTTTTTAAAACAACTAGGAAATAAAATCAGCCAGGATACCTGAATGGTGTTTGACAAAGATCTGTTCTTCCAGATGAGAGTTTGGGCATTTTTTCCCATGGTGGGAGGTTTCTTCAATGCATTTTATTCTTTATTCATATTTATACAGTAAAGCATGGATACAACCAAAAGCTTGCCAGAAAAGAATTCCATATTGAAATGGAAATCAGGCCTTTTGAAAGACAGGGTCTTGTGCTGAAAAGTTTGGCTTTGATTCTGTGTGTATGTGTGTGTATTCTGCCAAAACAGAAAGAAACAAAATGAGGATTCAGCCACTACTATTTTGCTAACGATAGAAGAGAACAAAGCTATTGCATTGGGAAAAGAAAGAAAGAATGTGTTTTGGCAATACCTTTGCATAAAAAAAGAATATGTAATATAACCTTGAATAGTATGTATTTTTCCATCTTTCAAGATAAGAATGGGGATAAAAACAATGTCTGTAGTGGAGCTTTGAGCTCCCTTGAGACTAGTAAAATTATAGTATGTTTTTATTCTTTATTTGGTGGGGGAAAGTGTGTGTGCTCACATGTATATATAGAGAGAGCTTTTATGTGCTACACGAATATGATTACTATTATTGCTTTATAGATTAACTATTAATTTGTTCCTCAGTTACTTTTTTCCCTTAGGGCATTTGTACATTTCTACATCTGTTGTTAGCCTCCATTGCATTAGACCTTCATTTCCTTCTTGGCCAAGATTCCACTACCTTAGATATCTTTTTCTACTTTCAGGTCTCGTGGGCTGCCTAAACTAAAAGAGTCACGTTCCCATGAATCCTTGCTGAGCCCGTGCAGCGCAGTAGAATGTCTGGATCTTGGTAGAGGAGAACCTGTATCAGTGAAACCACTCCACAGTAGCATCCTTGGACAAGACTTCTGCTTTGAGGTAAAAAAGTGTAGAAAGAAAGAGTGTTACACAACAAGTAGATTTTCTATTCAGTAATTTTGAAATTTGATTACTGTGATGTCAATGATTTGATTATCTTAACTGGTTTTCTGCTGCTATAAATTACCTACTTACAGGGAAAAAGTTGGAAACCTATTAATCTAATTATATTTGCAATTAAAGTTATTAATGTTAGCTCCTTGTCCCTTTTGACTTTGTCCGCTTTCAAAAAAGTTGGGTTCTTAGTGCATTCTCAGCAGAGGTCACAAGACTAACAGTAACTTATTAAATTAGTATATTGATTTTTTAGTATTGATAAGGATGTCACCCACTATGTTTTTGTTTTTCTCCTGAGGCCCTTAGTGCATTCTCAGCAGAGGTCACAAGACTAACAGTAACTTATTAAATTAGTATATTGATTTGTTAGTATTGATAAGGATGTCACCCACTATGTTTTTGTTTTTCTCCTGAGGCCCTAAGTCCCCAATTTTAATAATTTTTTGAGGAAATCAACCCAAACCATAATTTTTCAAACTATAATATGAGCAGTTAAAGATCTGGGACCATGTCTTATTTATTTTTGTAATATCCTGCACCTAGCCTAGTCCCTGGCACATTGCAGGTGCCTAATTTCTTGAATGAACAAATTGCCCTTCATCAGAAAATTATGACCTTCACTTTTTATAAGGTAATTTCCTCCCTTCCAAATTAAATATACTCTTATGGCCATTTACAAGTTAAATTTGAAATATATATATATATATATATAAAATTATTAGGGTTAGGATTTGAATAATCAATAAGAGCTTACTAAGTAACTAGTGATGAGTCCTTTGCTAGATGTTGTTTTGTTCCTGTTCTTATGGACCGGTGCTGTCCAAGAGAAATATAATGCAAGCCACATATGTAATTTTAAATTTATTTAACCAAAATATTATTTTAACATATCGCATAAAAATTATCAATGAGATATTTTACATTCTTTTTTCTTGTACTAAATCTGCAAAATCTGATGTGTATTTTACACTTACAGCACATATCAGTTTGGACTAGCCACATTTCAGGTACTCACTAATCACATGAGGCTAGTAGCTGCCGTATTGGACAGAGCATATAATCTGATCTGACTCACTAGGTTATGACCTGAGATTGAGTTCTAATATGTGAACAAACTTCAGCAATTTGGGCAAGTCATTTATTGGTGATCTTTTTTATAAAAATCACTTGAACTTTGTCATATTTGTAGAACTCAATTCAATAGACTATATACAAAGCCCAGTGTTAAGTGCTAGGCATATAGGCAACATGTTTCATTTTTAAAGGACAGTGATAATAGTGATCAGGCTAACCTAATACATGACTGGAAATCAGCAGGCTGGTTCCCTAGTGGAGGAGAAATTGGTTATGAAGACAATAATTCAGTACTACCAACTCTTCACAATTTCATTTATTACCCTTCTATAATATTATAGTGAAGGCAATCTTGAGAAATCTGATAAGCTATTTTAGAGACTCTTTTCCTTTTTTCTTTACTTTTTATTAACTCACTTAGAATTGAACATACTCAGTTGCAGGTAATGTAAGATGTGGCCTGAAAGGTTTTTAATTTTGATTTTTCTGAACTGTAGGCTAGTTTTATGTTCCTCAACTGAATTCCAGATGGCCTTTGTTCTCATACCTCGAAATGAGTTTGAATGCTACCTAGATAACAAAGCAAAAAAGGAGTATAGATGTAGGTAGGGATATCACAGAAGTAACAGAGATCATTTTAGTTTCATGTAGTATGTTTTGGGTTCATAGCATATCCCTAACTCTTAAATGATAGAACTAGGAAGACCAAGCCCCCAAATGCTGTTTCCTTTTCCTTATCTCTAATCTTTATGTTGAAGGTTACCTACTTAAGTGGAAGTAAATGCTTCAGCTGTAACTCTGCTTCAGAGAGAGATAAGTGGATGGAAAACCTTCGCAGGACAGTTCAACCAAATAAGGTAATAATGGTAAATGGTAAGTGTAGTAGTAATACCTTAATTTTTATAGAGCTTTATAGTTTTAAAGCACATTTATATGTTATGCCATGTTATGCTAAAAATAATCTAATTACAGATATTATTATCATGGTTTTACCAGTATGGATAAGAAGACTCAGAAAACTTAAGTGACAAGTCAGAAGCTAGTACATGATAGAAATAGGACTTCTTAACTCCTCCTTATCTCTTTTTTATTTGCAGAAACTAGTTCAATTGCCATGAGACTGGCTATATGAGAACTTACCATTTCAAGATGATTTTTTTTAACCTAAATAAAATAGAATGTATGTGATACTCTCAGAAAACTTAAGTGACAAGTCAGAAGCTAGTACATGATAGAAATAGGACTTCTTAACTCCTTATCTCTTTTTTATTTGCAGCAACTAGTTCAATTGTCATGAGACTGGCTATATGAGAACTTACCATTTCAAGATGATTTTTTTTAACCTAAATAAAATAGAATGTATGTGATACTCTTAAGATTGTGATACATTCTTGTTTCAAGCTTGCTATTATAATAAACAATGACATAGCTATCTCTTTCATTATTTGTTGACTCCCCTTAATAGAGTACATAGGCAGCATCACCTACTTTAAGAGGAAAATGTTCTCTTTCTGGGATGTCAGCTCTGAAAATTTAACTTTTTTGCCTCTTTACAGGACAATTGCAGACGAGCTGAAAATGTTCTCCGTTTATGGATCATTGAAGCCAAGGACCTTGCCCCTAAAAAGAAATATTTCTGTGAACTGTGCCTTGATGATACCCTCTTTGCTCGTACAACCAGCAAGACCAAAGCAGACAATATTTTCTGGGGCGAACATTTTGAATTCTACAGCCTTCCACCTCTTCATAGCATCACAGTTCACATTTATAAGGATGTGGAAAAAAAGAAAAAAAAAGACAAGAATAATTACGTAGGGTTAGTCAACATTCCCACTGCCAGTGTGACTGGTCGCCAATTTGTAGAAAAGTGGTATCCAGTGAGTACACCTACACCCAGCAAAGGAAAGACAGGAGGACCTTCTATTCGGATTAAATCACGTTTCCAAACTATCACCATTCTGCCTATGGAGCAATACAAAGAATTTGCAGAATTTGTCACCAGCAACTACACCATGCTGTGTTCTGTCCTTGAGCCAGTAATTAGTGTGAGAAATAAAGAGGAGTTGGCTTGTGCCTTAGTGCACATTCTTCAAAGTACTGGCAGAGCCAAGGTAAGTGGATTGCATTACCTGAAATCTCTCAGCCTACCTTTTACAAAGAAACAAAAGTATGGATACTGTGGAGATCCAATTTAGAAAAATGTGCTTTGCTATTGGTCAAAAAAAGAAAAAAGAAGAATTAAGAAGGAAACCTATTAGCAGTTCTTAGATCCAGAAAAGATGGCGATTATAAAACTAAAGAAGTAAAATGGAGAGACCAACAAATACTAAAGTCATTTGCATGAATGATAGATACCATAGCCAGCACTTTACCATCTAACAAAATAAGTGGTAGAATAAGCATGATAACCCTACATTGTGTTCAAGATTCTTTATTTCTGAAGTGTTGTATGCTGGTTTTCTCCCTCACTATATTTTGTTTAAGATTAACTGCTGACTATATCCCCTAGGCATAGAAGTAGGTATTACAGAAGCATGCTGGGTATTAGCAAGAGTTCTCATGGGATTAAAATCTATATTTGGAATAAAAATATCAAGGGATGTTATACAATCAGTAGCTGTTTCTTTTTTTTTTTTTTTTCCTTTTTGTCTTTTTTCGTGACCGGTAACGGGATCGCAACACTCAGTGTCGTGCCCCTATCACGACCGGCAACGGGATCGCAACCCTCGGTGTCGCGCCCGCACCGCGCTCAACCAGTGAGCAGACCGGTCTCTATATGGGATCCGAACCCTCGGCGGGAGCGCCGCCCCGCTCCCAAGCACCGCACTCTACCGAGTGTACCACCGGGCCGGCCCAGTAGCTGTTTCATGATAGCCATATCTCATTTCATCCTGGGTAAAGGTAAAAATTCAGGAAGATAAAAAAGAAATACTGTGATTGTAGGAAGAACAACCATCGACTGATACAGTCTTTGACCTATGAGACATACATACTCACTTAATGGGGCTGGGTCTCCATTACATTGTATGCAAACTGGTCATAGTAAAATTATATTTCAGATCCAGAGAAGTTAACAGCTAGAATAATTTATTTAGAACCAAACAATAAGATAAAGTGCTATTAAGATTCCTTGATACAGAGCCGGCCTGGTGGCGCACTGGAGAGTGCGCTGCTTGGGAGCGCGGCAGCGCTCCTGCCGAGGGTTCGGATCCCATGTGGAGACCGGGCGGTGCGGGTGCAACACCGAGGGTTGCGATCCCGTTGCCGGTCCCTGGTATGGGCGCAACACCGAGGGTTGCGATCCCGTTGCCGGTCCCTGGTATGGGCGCAACACCGAGGATTGTGATCCCGTTACCGGTCAGTAAAAAAGACAAAAAGGGGGAAAAAAAAAAAAAGATTCCTTGATACAAACCAGAATACATCAATACATTCAATATTATTTCCTTGTCTGTCTTTCTGATAATAATTTTTGTGCTTGAATTTACTGATAATAATCTTGAGCTTTCTGTTGTTAAAAAGGCTTAAGAGTTTGGGGTGAGATGTCATTGAAATTTTGAATCTTATCGGAAATTGCATGGACATGTTCTTTTTGCTTTTCAGTTACTCAAGGTTCAGGATATACATAAGGTTTATTTTAAACAACTTTTATTAATTTATATACAATTTAGGTCTAATAAACTATACCCGTTTAAAATGGAAAAATTTAATGAGTTTTGACAGATTATGCACCTGTTGAAACTACCACCAGAAGCAAGATGCAGAATGTTACTAACACCTGCAAAATTTTCCTTGTGCCTTTTAACATAATGGGACCCTGAGTAAGTCCCATTAATGTTTAAAATACTTAGTTTTAAGGTAAAAATAAATCAGCATATTTCCTCTGTTTTTGGTTTTGGAGCCATTGAAATGTCCAATAAATACATAACATTCAAAATATATGATGTTATCACATTTCAAACTGAACAACAATAAATACTGAATTTTAATCAAGTTCTTTAAGACTGTTGGGGAATGAAGCAGCTATTTCTTCAGGGCTTCATCTCTCCTTATGCCTTCTCCATGGATGAATGGATGGATGGATGGACGGACAGATGGATGGATGGATAGACAGACGGACATATAGACAGCCTAGAAAACGAGTGCAAATGATGAGTTCAAGAAATTCTTTGTTGATACTATGGACCAGTTTGTAACAATTACGTATTGAACACCTAATATATTGCAGAAACTGTTAGGTGGTGGAGATATTGTGGTGAACAAAAGTAGACACTGTCCTTGGCCTCATGGTGCTTACAGTTTTCTGGGGAAAACAGATCTTAGTCGAGTAATTGCAGAAATAAATGTGTGATTACAGTGAGAAATACAGAGGATAAGAAGACAAGGGGCTATGAGTATGGAGCAAGGGGACCTCACTAGTGGGGTTCAGTGGCAGTTTTGGTCAAGGCAGGCTCTGCTGAGGAAATTATGTGTGAACTAAGATCCAAAAGATCCCAGGAATTAGCTCCATGACAGTGGGAGGAACAAGAGTGGGAGTGGAGCAGAACTGAGATCAGCATTTGCAGAAGGCTTTGTGGTGAATAGAGAACATTGTGTGCAGGAAAGGCTTGGTGTATTAAAGGACCTAAAAGGAAGGCCCTTGAGGCTGGAGCAGAATGCAGAGAGAATGGTACAAGACAAGGCTGGAAAGGTAGACAGAAACCAGAAAACACAGAGACTTATAGGCTGCATTCAGAATTATGGTCTTTATCAAAAGTGCAATGAAAAATCTTTGAAGGAATTTTAAACTTCGGGACAGTGACACCTAAAATTTTATCCTGACTGCCTTTTTTCTTTCAAATGAATCTGGTAGCTTTAGTTTTATAGCCGCATTCCCAGGATGTCTGATATTTCATCAGTCTCTTCTAATGTATATTATTTATTCAGTTACTTTCTGCCTGATTGAACATTATTCTACCAGGATTTTCTGACTGACTTGGTGATGTCGGAGGTGGATCGTTGTGGAGAGCATGACGTCTTGATCTTCAGAGAGAACACCATTGCCACCAAATCCATTGAGGAATACCTCAAATTGGTGGGACAACAGTATCTTCATGATGCACTGGGTATGGAAAAGAATTATCTCCTCTTTCCCTTTCTATTTTAAGTTATGTTACCCTCATGAGACAAAATTGAGCTCAAATTCTGCATGGTATTTAGTTCTAGATTACTAGAACGTTAAGGTTTGAGTTTCGGCTGTAAGAAATCTTCAGTACTCACCAGCGGAGGAACAACAGATTAGTTTATTACAATATATGCAGAAATAGAAAGCTCATCAGTATACTCAGGTACCCCCAGGCCCCCAAGTTCCAGATTCTGGGATATACAATAATATTAGTGGGTATCATTACTCTACCTAAGGTGGCCTATTTTCCTCAACGTGTTGAATATTTATGCCATGATACAAATATATTACACAAATTTTGGAAGTGTTAAACTTAGTTACTGTGCTAACGAAATTCTAATCAGAAATGAAATTCTTGCCAGTACCTACGACTCCAAATATCCGCCTTCAAGATTTGTAGAATTTGTGTGTGTGTGGCTGGCCAATATGAGGATCAGAACCCTTGACCTTGGTGTTACAAGGCCATGCTCTAACCAACTGAGCTATCTGGCCAGACCCCTCTAGAATTTTTAACGTAAGTAATTTTTATCCAATCAATATTTCTTGCTGACTAGGCCACTCACTTGCAGGTTCATGAACATATCAGTCATGAAATTCAGGCATTAACCACTAGAGTAAAGCACTGTACTAGGCACTTACCTCATGACAGAGTAGACATAAGTTCCCTGAAAAAAATAACCCTTTCTTTTATCTCCATATCCCTAATACTTTGCAAAGAAAGTAGAGCAGCACTGTCCTATAGAAATATAATACGAGCCATGCGTGAGTAATTTTAAATTTTCTAGTGGTCACAGTATAAAAATGGTAAAGAGAAACTGGGTAAATTAACATTTTGTTTAACCCATTATATCCAAATATTATTTAACAATTAGCCAATCTAAAACTATTAATGAGGTATTTTACTTTTTTCATACTGTCTGAAATCAGTGTGTATTTTACATTTATTACACATTTCAATTTGCACTAGCCACATGTCTAGTGCTTAAAAGTCACATGTGACTATCAAGAGTATATCAGTAAAGGTATGTTGAACGACTGGAGAGATTTTTGCCCTTGAGGTGCTTACAATATAGAAAGATGAAAGTGGGAGCTAAAAAAAATAAACATAAAAAGAAAGAAAGATACAGCGATCACAATAATTTGTTGAGCTTTTGAAAGGAGAGAATGGAACTAAGGGCACCAGAGGTGAGAAAAGGGGAGATGGAGGGGAGGTTAGCAAGAAATTGGAAAAGGACCACAAAAGATTACATTGTATAATGATAAATATAGTAATTATCCTGATTTGAGGATCATGTATTACATACAGGTATTGATATTCAACACTGTACCCCACAGATATGTACAATCAATTATGTTTCAATTTAAAATAATTTTTTTAAAAATTAGGAAAAGAAATTTCTGAAATAAAAATAAACTTGGGAGGAAAAAAGAAAAACAATATAGGGAGATGAGATAGGGATATTCCTATAACCAAAAAGAGAAATCCTGGGTTTTTTTCAAAGAATTAAAAAAATTAATTACAGCTGATAGAATTGTAGAATTTCCTGTGTGAAATACATTTATGTTGTGTGTGTACCTTAAAGGGTAGAAAGGTTATTTAAAGACAGGCATTGGGCAAGGGCGGTGAGGGGATTAGTATGGGGGAAAGAACAAAAAGGCACAGAGGTGGGAGAGAACCAGGCATGTGTGGAATAAAACCTATTAGCTGAAAAAAGACACAAAAGAGACAAGTGAGCAACAACAAAAGATTATAAAATAATTAGAATCAATTTGTTGGGATCCTTGAATGCTTGCCTAAGGGTTTAGATTTTATAGTAATCACTGGAGAGCTGCTGAAAGTTTTGAGCAGGGTGTTTTCAATGAAATTAAACTGGTTAAGATGGGTTGATGAAGAAAGCTACTGAAAGCAGAGCTGTCAGTTAAAAAGTCATTGTAACGAGGAAGAAAAGAAATAGAGTCTCTGAATGAGATAATCACTGAGAGTAAAAATAGAGAAAAAGATGGATATGAGAAATATTAAAGTTGATCTGATAGGACTTGGCAACTTTCTCAGTTTGTGAGAAGAGGAAGGAATCAAATATCACAGAGAATTTTGGGCCTTTGTGAGTGACTAGAAGGATGATGAGATTCTTAACAAAAATGGAAATCACAGAAGTAGTCGGCTTAAGAGAAGAGAAATATTTCCACTTCACATATATTCGATGTGAAGTTGTCTAGCTGGCTGTTGGAAATTTGGGACTAACTTACCTATGGGGAGCGGTTAATTGAAACTGTTAGATTACCAAGCAGGAAGAGAATAGGGACAAAAAGGGATTTTATAGTGCACCTGGGTTTATGAGCAAGGAAAGAAATTCAAGCAACCCCTCAAAGATCTCTGATACTGTGTTTGTAATCCAAGGGCAAGAGCCAGGGTAATAAGAATGGCTGCTGCTTCTAAGAGCAAAAACAGAAATAGCCAGTAAACTTCTTCAGGACAGGGATTGTATTATCTTCTCATTAAGGTTTTGCTATATTTCATATACTTTGGGCAAAAAGCAGATGCTGTTTTCAGACTGCCTGAGAAACTCTCAGTGAGAACTGATTTTAAAGTTGACAGTCGTATTGCGCAGTGTCTACCTGCTTCTTAACCAGTCTTCATTTATCCTGATTAAAGCAGTACTCTTTACTGCACAGATTCATTCTCATTTAGACTTAAATCTTCCATTTGTTAGCCCCTTTACCTTTCTGATTTAAATCGGATTGCAGTTGATGTCCTGTGACACACAGGAAATACCATCTGTGAGACAGAGAAAAGAAGTCCCTGAAAAGGCCTGATTTCCACCCTTCCTTGATGGTGGAGGCAAATTCCTTTCAGCAGTAACATATCCTTACCTGTTGACTTATTCCTATATGTGAAATTTTGATGCTAGATAGTGATGAGTTAATGATTTACATAGAAAACACATCATAGAACATTCTGAGCACAAAAAACATTTAAACAACATAGTGAACACTCTGGCTCTAATTTTTTTCAAAGGCAAGAGAGCCAACTTAAATAGGCTTTTTTCTTGAAGAATAAAAGAAAAATAGAGTTAATATTCATGTGATTTATTAATATTAGTATTGTTTCCCTAGAATAGATATAATTTAAAAGAACTTACCAAATAGAATATTTATGACACACATTTAGAGTTTGGCCAATTTTCTCATGGGATATTTGACATTGATTGCTTAGTTTTAAATTTAGGTGCTCTTTAAATGAGGTAGATTGTGTAGGGGCACATACCATAGGAGACATGGAGAACATGCTAAATACATATCTTGTGAGAACTGGTAACATTTTTTAAAACCTTTTATTAGTTTTGGCCTTTTCACTTTATGAAAGATATGTAAAAGTTGTTTTGACATTTTTTAAAACCTTTTATTAGTTTTGGCCTTTTCACTTTATGAAAGATATGTAAAAGTTATTTTGTCTATATACTTTCCGAACATGAAAAAAACCTGATCCCTAACCTCCAAGGTTGATCTT